AGAAGGTCTTAAGTTGTTCTATACTACTCCGGTATTTACCTTACGAATTAGGAAAACTGCAGGAAAACCTAATTCGGAGTAGCCGGCAGAATTCTGGAAACTGGTCTAAGGTAATTGCCATTTCTGCCAGAGATGAATGATTCACCTCAGGTTCGAACACCCGTCCTCCGGATTTATAGCCCAACGCTCTACCATTGAGCCATAAAGCCGGATGTATAGTATAAGGGTAGCTGCAGTCGTGACTCTAAAATTCAAAATAAAATTTACAAACACACAACTTGAATTTATTTTCACAATATTAATTTTACTTTTGCGATGTAGTTTATTAATTGCATCGCACACCACGGAATTTTCCACTTTAATTCTTATTGCAAACTCCAAATTTTTTGTGTCAGGATACCGATACTCGATAATGAAACTATTCCAATCGTAATGTAATTTCCCACGACCTAGTTTGAATTTATTATCCCTCTCTTGGTCTAGGCCCTCAACAGGCTTGCGCCAAATTACAGAGTGACCCGCACAATTGTTCACCCACTCAACAGAAAATCACTCCGTACAAACTTGACGCAAAAAGCTATCCCTTCTAAGGTTTAACCCGAAAATACCTAATCCGACTAAAAACTAAAAAACTAAATACACCCCAATAAAGGCCTCCCGTTACGAAATCCATATTGCGGTGTTTTAAAATGAACCGACGCTAACATAAGCTGCTCGTTTAAGCGGTATCGCGGGGTCAAGTGATCGCTTGTTCCTTAGAACTTACTGGACATGTGACAACCATACTGTACACCCGTTAGTGCTGGTCAGTTAGTATATCACATCTTGTTTGTCGGAAGTCATCGAAAAAGTAACAAACGAAATAGGTGAACTATTCTTCATCATAAAAACAACAAAAGCACTCGTCAAACCGTTGAATTTTGGCAAGCAAATATTCGGCATTTGTTTTTATGACATAGTGAACTGTACTCTATAATTTTTATTCTTGAAAATGCAATACCCAACATGAACTACTCTGCTGTCAGTTTTCATCTGTCGACGGTGCATAGTCAATGGAAGAAACAGAATTAATAACCCATTTCTCGCTGTGTTACTTCTTTTTATTTCAAGAAGATGACGGATCTTCGTCGCCTGAAGCAGTTAAAAGATACAAGGCACTAATTTGTAACGAGTGGTCACATTAGAATTAAAAAAGTATTTTTTCGAATTTGTATTTTGACCAGGATAGAAAAATTTTCTCATGTACCGCTTCACAGCGAATGTGAACAAACATATGTCTAGCGATAACGTATTGCGGAAAACGAGCGGGGTTACCACGACCTTTCGTAACTTAAAAACTTTGTTTAGTTCTATTGAAATCCGAGAACGTGACAAAATTGCGACGATAGTGGAGGTCGTCGCTTTTCGATTTTTTTTATCAGGGACGATTTAAAAAGAGTAATTCCTGTTGGTAAATTCTCTGTTATTCCCGTACCTTCTGTAATAAAATTGTAACTAGCGTCCTATTCTTCATCAGCGCGATGACCCTCTTTAAAATTCTTAAACATTCTTCGTACGTTTTAATATAATAGTTTTAATAGTGATTTATTAGCATCTTGACATATATGGTATATGATAATGCAAGTCAAGTACAAGAATACACAAAAGAAGATAGTACACACGGCTCAGTTTCCTGCACAGAGTTTTACCTACGTCGTTTGCAATTCATAGAATTCATTTAGTGAATCGAGGGCTTGCCTATGTAAATATTTCTTAACTATATTTTTGAACGAGTTGAAATTATTGATATTTTCAATTTTAGAAGGCAATGCATTGTACAACTTTTTGCAAGCATAAAACGGTGACTTATCATAAAAAGTCGATTTGTGCAAATCTGTCCGTAGCAAGTCATTAAATCTTGTATTGCAATTATGATGTGAGTTATCGCTAAATTTTGTTATATTACGCTTTGCATACTTTAGACAGTTGTAGATATAAATTGAGTATATCGTCATAATTTTATGCTTTTCAAAAATCGTTCTACAAGATTCCCTTTTATTTAGGTTGAATATCAATAGCAAGATTCTCTTTTGAGCAATAAAGACCCTATTAATGGAGGCAGCTTGTCCCCATAACATGATATTATATGTTAAGTGCGAGTACGCTAGAGCATAATAGACATTCACTAGGCACGCCATATCAACCATATTTTTTATTTTATAAATTGCAAAGTAGCAACTGTTTAGTTTCGAAGTAACATGGTCAATATGCTGTTGCCACGAAAAACAGCCATCGACACTAACTCCTTAGGAACTTTACATTAGTTTCCAAATATAATTTGGATTTAGCCAGCCCTGAACTCTATATTGAATCCGGCAGTTTCTTTTTACTAAAATACAAACATTTTGTCTTAGCAATATTAAGAATCATACCATTGTCTGTACACCAAGACTTAAAAGCACACGTTACATACTCCACACGAGCTAAGAGTTCCCCAGTAGAAGGTGCCGCCACAACCATTGAAGTGTCATCAGTAAAGATTGTAATATTATTCGTTGTTATATAGTTTGGCATATCATTCATAAAAATAATGAATAATAAGGGCCCCATCACAGATCCCTGGGGAACACCCAGCTGAACAGGGTACTCTTCAGATAACTGATCTCTAACCCTAACAACTAAACTCCTGTGTTCCAATTAGTTGCAGATTACATTTAAGGTAGCTCCGCGAATGCCCAAAGCTGATAATTTGTCTTTTAGAAATCTGGGGCTGACAGTAAAATAATTGCTACACGGTGGTTACTAATAGAAGAGCGCGACTGCCAATATGATATAGTACATTCCGCTAAACAGAAAAAAGCCAGAGTTTCAGGTGTAAAACTTGATGGTTTTGTGCCGAAACCAATGAAGTATAAGAGTTCTACGGATGTTACCATCAACGCTGTCCTATGTGCTTCAAACATGCAAGAAACACACTTCTATCATATAATATAGCGAAGAACTTTGGGAACAGCTAGAAGAATTGAACTACTCCGTTATCGAGATGTTGGAGTGTGATTTTCGACTGCTGATGATAAAGGAACTGTACATATAATTATACAGAAACACTCCCTGTAATGTCATATTTGCCACTCAACCCAAGGATGCATTTAATGGAGGGCGAAAAGGAATCGTGAAATCGTTTTAGGAAGCAGAGCAAGATGAACAAATAAAATACGTCGATATCCTATGTTAATAAATACTGTAGTTACCCTATAGGACAACCTACAGTAAATATTGGAAAAGACTGTAGTAAATTAAAGCTTGAAACAGTATAGGGGTAATTAAATGTAAAATGTTACGACGACAATTATTATTCCACCCGGTGCTGCCTGTAAAAATGAATAAAAAATGAATGTTTGTGCTTTGTCGTTCAGGCGATAAGCGTACCAAACCAAGAGCCTTGCAATTCATGACGACGATGAGCGTGCGTTAACAGGAACTTGGGTGGTAGATGAAGAAATCTATCGAAAAAGTATACAATCTCTTAGTAACTTATGAAATACGGCACCGCACAATATAACAAAAACGCTAAGTTCCAGATGCCCATCTCAGCGTGGCATTCCAGAAAGACAAGACAAGTATGTTAAAGAGTATTACGAAACCGAAGGTGTTCTACTTGGCCCTACAAAGGCTGAAAAAACAGTGCTAATCACATTTTGTGGAAAACTACCACCCGCCACACTCAATTTTTGGGGGAGTTGATCAATGAATTAGAAGACCAAGGTTTTGGACAAAGAATTTGTGTCAGGCGTTCCCAAAAATTACGCTTACAAAAGCATGGTCCAACTATAAAGGATGTGACGTAACTGTAAAGCTAAAGGAATATCGGAAAATGGTCCTTGAACAAGAAGAAATCATTCTGGGCTCATTTTCTCAATCGATCTACCGAACAAGTAACACTACAAAACTATACCGACCTAACTCCACACAAAGGTACTTTACTTCTGGATTTTCACATCCGTATGGGTTTAAAAAGATTAGCGTAGATTATGTCACAAAGTAAGGTAAAAACAAAGTTCAGAATAATCGCGTGACGCGCATCTAAAATCGATCCCGAAGAATCTTAGAATCCACTCCCTAAAACGGTCAGTATGGAGAAGTTGAGGACCACCGTAGAAAAATTCTTCATCAAAGAAACAATAAAGTTCCCACAGTCTAGCACCACTCAGTTGGCGGCATATATCAAAGCAAAACTACTTTTAGGTAAACTCCTGACTTGACTTTTCGACTTGTCTTTGGTCATAGTATAACATTTACAAAATGCCTTCTTGCACCTTTATTTTGAACGCGACGCAAAAAGTGTATAAGGCTTTTTTATAAATCTTATCACGGCACACCTTTTCTATACGTGGGTTATTATATTTCGCCTAATAATAAAACTTCTTATCGCAAACGACCTGATGCATCCTTTTTAAGGTAACGATAAATTGACCAGACGTGTCTTACTTCTACACCATATTGAATAATTTAAAAGAGCGATAACATTTTAAGAGTTAGAATTGAGTTAGTTATATTTAATTTGTAGATTTTTTGAGTTTTAAAGTCCTATAATGACGTGGTGGGTTTATGTAGGAACAGTTGGTAAAACCTAATTAAAGTCGTATACGAGCACCCGTACTTATCCTTAAATGGGAACGGGTTGCACAAACTGAACATAAAATAGGTACGCATATAGATAACCTAAGAAAAAGTATGAGTTTGAAAGGAGGAACCCGAAATTGAATCTACATTGCTTCAAGAGGCAATGAAAAACGATCATTTAGATCGAAAACGTATAAATTACAGTTATTCATATTAGTGGAAACTTTTTCCAAAGGAGCAATTTGAAAGGTGAATGGAAAGCGGATGTCTCCTCCAAAGCTGCAGTAAAATTCCGCGCGTAAATTAATCGAAATCGCATACCACAACGTGCTTAGCGCTGATATTAAATAATCGTTAATCTTAGAAGAATGTGGGATAACCTACATTTACAAGAAAGCTATACCTACCGGAATTCTGAATATAACTTTTCTATTGTTGTATCGACAAAACTTCCGTTTCTAAGTATTTTTTAAAGCTGTCTGGTTGTCAAAGTTGATTCATTCTTATTACGTTTGTCATTGCGTTGTTGCTTAATGAACTTTGAAGGATCATGTCGTCAAAGCATAAGTGTCCCCGATTAATCACGCCAAGCAAATATGAGACACAAGGCAAGGATTCCTTCAACTGGTGGTTGCGATTATTTAAAAAAATGGAGGACGAGTTTCAAATTGTGCACAGGTACGATTTCTTTATATTCGACTAATAAATAAATTTCAGCCACCGCACCTTCGGAGGGATGTTATTAGTAAAATATTCCCCGAGAAACTTTTACAAAAAATTTTGACGATAATTACGACAGTTGATCCGAAACAAGATTCATCTACCGACGCAAGCTACTTTCGAAGAGTTTCCGACGACAAAATCTCTAAATCTGACAGAACAATTCTATCCAAAACGGAACGATCGCGAAGTCTAATTGACGAGGAGGACAAAGGCGAGAGAAAGTGGCACAAATTGGTAACATCAAACAATATTTCTAAGTAAACTCATCTACAGGTACAAGTTATCGGGGCGTACGAATCCGTATCTAAAGTTTTGCAAATGTCCACCCGAGCGGGCCGCTATTTGGAGACCGCTTCCACCGCTCAGCATCGAAGGCATGGACCTAAACCAGAAATCGGAAGCAATTACCGAAGCGGTAAGATGATTAGCCGTTAACGGCATTGAGCCGACAGTGTTTTAGATCGCCGTTGATTTTGTGGCTTGGCTAATGAATTTGGGGGGCGAGACAAAGACGACTTTGGATGTTGCTCAAGTAATGAAAATGTTCGAGGTCGGATTTCATACTCATGCGGCAACTTCGTTGGTTGTGCGAGTCAAAGAAATGCCGGCCGTTCCAAAGTACGTCGCGGAGATGAGAAAGCACCCCGAAGTAAGTGTACATTAATTTAATTATTTAGTATCACGTTGTAGACATATTTATCTGAGTTGAAATAGTTGCCCTAGTTTGCGTCGTATCTTATTACAGACATGAGATTGTAACGGAGAAATTGCGCTCAGACATGCGACAATTAAGGAAAACAAATTGTCACTCCTCGATATAGTTCTCTTTGAGATTATATACATTGTCGTCATTTACATTTCCTCGCTACAAGTATCTATAATTCTTTTTGTATATTTAAAAGTAATTGTAGGGGAAGGGAGAATGAATTTAGTGGTCTATAATTACTTACTTCAGGAAACTGTGACAAGATTTTCTGATGGAAAATTTTCTCTACGAATTCTTTTTTGTATGTACTTCCGTCCTTGTTTATATAACTCATCACAGATACAGATTTTCCATTCCATTTTCGACGCTTGATCGCCTAGGTCTTTCTCTTGGATGAGGTTGTAAATGAGCAAAATCGGAATCACTATACAGTTTCCCAAAACTGCATTTGTTTACTTTTTTATTGGACCTTAAACCGAACCTTAAAACTTCCTCAAACTCTCCGCATAAACGACCAACCGTCTCGCTTGAGAATCTTCCACAGCGGTAGTTCGTTCTGGGTAAAATGATTGTAACTTCGCTGCATTTTCCAATGGTTGAGCGCCACTCAATTTCTAACTTACATAACTCTCCCCGTATGAAATTGAGAAGACCAGGGTAGTAAAAACAGTAAAGATCAATTTATGTAGGAAAAGAAATACTGGTTTATTCACACCAAATATCAAAGCAAAAATCAACTCCAAAATGGAGTAGCCTAACATACAAAATACTCAAAATTACGGATTAGGTTACTAACAAATTCTTATTAACTTGACTTTACAATATTGAAATTTCCCAATTTAACAAAAACCCCAATCAAGAATGATTGATTAAATTGATTACTGAATGTTAAAACAAGTTTCCACAGGTAAATTGGAAATATGGGAAAAAGTTCGCACGTATGGGGCCAAGTACAAGTAAAAAATAGAAAGCAAGGCTTACCTTGCATAAAATTAACGTTGACGCCAAGAAGTGAGCTCAGTCCTCGCATCCAAAAATCTACAAACAATAAAACCTCGCAAGTCACAGAGCTCGGTACAAAATTAATTGACCAATGCAGAAGGGACAACACTAAAAGTTACGGAAGTTGTCTTTTTGTTGAGGATCGATTCTCGCTATCAAATCTCGTTTAGGACTCGGTGACCCAATACCAGGCAAATGGTGAGCTTAATCCAAGGTTTTCAACCCCCCACTTGTAAGTCGACATAATGGTAGGACTCTACAATTAAAACCCTGAAATAAAATCAAAGGTAACCCCTGTTTGCTGATAAACTGAAATGTACATACCTCTTAAGTACATACGTAAGTACATACCTCATAAGAGGGCTAATTATAGACCAATGCAACAATCGTCGATTCAAATTGTAATATGACAAATATGAGCCGAAACCTAAAGAAAAGGTACACTTCAATTACGGAAAATGCAAAGGGCGATACTTACGATAAGAAAAAAGCGCTCTATTGGAGTTTTTAGGCGAATCCATTCACTAATTATTCCAGAATCCCAAATTTAATTAATCCAATTGCCAGAGATTAATAAAATATGGATGATGGCAATTCAAATTCCATGCGTTTTCAACTAATAATAATAATAATAATAATAATAATAACACAAGATACTACATACAGAAATGATCCACAACGTATACATGTAAACAACAGTACTCGCTCACAACACGGTACACAACATACTGTAATATCTCCACCTCTAACCCAAACAAACACACAAATACAACTTACCGAACAAACAAGTACAACAAATGATACAACATATACTACAATCAGAGATTCACCTCTGAAGCAAACCACATTATCACAACCCATTAGTATTCAACTTACAACAATTTAACTAAAACACATGCAGAAAAACACCGCAAATACACCGATATAGCTATCGAGCTTAAGACGCAATGGAGAATGAAATCTACTGTTATAGTTCCCATTATTCTTAGTGCTACCGGAGTTATACCAAACAAAGACAATACACCACAATTTACAACTATTAGGTTTGGACAAAAACACATACAAACATTTACAAAAAGCAGTCATTATCAACACATGCCATATTGTTCGAAAATTTCTAAACATAACACAAGATACTACATACAGAAGTGATCCACAACGTATACATGTAAACAACAGCACTCCCTCACAACACGGTACACAACATACTGTAATATCTCCACCTCTAACCCAAACAAACACACAAATACAACTTACCGAACAAACAAGTACAACAAATGATACAACATATACTACATTCAGAGATTCATCTCTGAAGCAAACCACATTATCACAACCCATTAGTATTCAGCCCAAACGCAAAAGCCTAAACAGCACTTTAGACTCACAACATGACACACAACATACTGTAATATTTCCAAACTTAACTCAACCAATCACACAAACACAACTTCCTGAACAAACAAACGCAATAAATACAAGTAACGCAACATGCACTACAAAGACGCCCTCACCCAATAAAGTTACACGGCCTAGCACAGCTAAAAAACACAATACTCTTTCCTCTCAGAAACACACCTCGTTATCACAACCCACTCGTACTCAACGCAAACGCAGCAACCTTAACAGCACTAGAGGCTCACAAAATACCGAAATGTCTCCACCAATAATGCGAGCAACAACACAAACACAACCTCTAGAACAAATAAACACCATAAATACAAGTAACGCAACTTGCACTACTAAGACAGGTCCACTCAATAAAGTTACACGTCCTAGCACAGTTAAAAAACACAATACTCCTTCTTCTCAGAAACAACCCACTCCATTTAATAAAATTACAGGAATTATTATAATGATTTTTTTTTGTTTTGTTTTGCTCTTTCCTGATAGCGTTGGCTATTGTGCCCATCAATAGGTATGTTGGTAAGTACGAATTACATTATCCCTAGATGTCCAATGTACGTGTGTGATTTTATTTTTTTTTTATTTTTTTTTTTTTTATTTTTTTTTTAAGGACCCTACATAACTTCACCAGACACAGACACAGACACTAATCGTTACTTGATTTTAATCCGTGCGATTAGTTAACCAGGCTAGACCTGAGTTCTCACAAGAAACACCGACCAATAATAATAATAATAATAAATGCCTTTAATAACAAAGAAATAAACAATATAATGGATTACATAAAACTGGGGCGAGATTCAGTTGAAAGGTGCATTACCTCCCTCCTGCTCTTCCATCTAAACCCCAAAAGTAGATATATTTATTTAAACTAAATAATATTGAAGGCAACCAAACACAAGAAGAATCTTGACAAATGCGTGCAGGCGTGGAATTGCATTTAGTGCTCCAAACAATGTACGACCATGAAAGTATTTTATGACCAAAACCAAAAGGATTCTATTCAGCGTATAGATAGCTCTTCAGTTTACGTTTAAAGGTATTTATCGGTAGACTTTTGAGTTCTGAAGGAATTGCGTTATAGAGCTTTGAGATTTGATAGGTGAAAGATCGCTCAAAAGCGACCGTTCTATGACAAGGTGTTGAAAGTAGCCCTCTATAACGTAAATTTAAATTGTGGATATCTGTACGAAACGTAATTTTGTTGTACAAATAAGCAGGTGTTTTTGTAATTAATACTTTGTGAAACAAACAAATTGTTCGAAACTCGCGTTGTCTATGTATTGTCATACATAACCAACCAATCTCCTTTAATTTATAAGAAATATGTTCTCTTCGTTTAATGCCAAAAATCAGCCTTAAACAAGAGTTTTGTAAAGTTTGAAGCTTATTACTATCTACAACTTTCAAACTAGCATTATAAAGAATATCACAGAAGTTTGACCTTGGTAAGACTAATGTTTGGCACAAAAGAGTTTTCGTGGAGGTACTTAGGATGCGTCGACTGTTGTATATTAATTTAAGTGCTGCATAACTATTTCGAATGCACCGAGTTACATGTTCTGAAAATCTTAGTTTAGGATCAAGAATTACTCCCAAATTCTTTACAACTTTAGTTACAGCCACTGTCTGATTTCCTACCTGGATGTTGAGTACTTCTGCACTAGCGTCATCGATGCCAAAACATGTTACAGCGGATTTACCGGAATTTAGTATTAATTGATGTTCATTCGAAATTTTAGAAATTATATTCAGGTCAAGATTTACCTTCGCTACCGCAGTTTTCAAGTCACTCGGATAAAAAGAATAATATAACTGTATGTCATCCGCATACATATGACATGTGACATGTCTTAGCATGCCCGGAAATGTAGATGTGTACCTGTACATAATACAGAATAACGGACCTAAGATTGAACCTTGGGGAACTCCTCTGCTAACAGCTTGAAATTTGGAAATTTTGTTCCCAACTACTACAGCTTGTTGGCGGTTAATAAGATAATTTGAAATTAATTCGACTGCGGATTTATCAAAACCTAGGAAGTGTATTAATGCTATCAGGATGTCATGGTTTAATGTATCGAAAGCCTTGCTATAGTCAAGCAATACCAGAACTGTAGCCATTCCTTTGTCCATTGATCGAAAAATATCATCGGTAACTTTCAGTAGTGCTGTACAACAACTATGGCCGGGCCTAAAACCGGATTGCTCCTCTGGTAAAATGTTGTTAATACTAAGGTGTCTTCTAATTTGTGAGTCAATAATTTTCTCAAAAATTTTTGATAACACGGGCAAAATACTTATTGGTCTAATGTCACTAATACTCAAAACTTCCTTCTTTTTAGGAATTGGGATCACATATGACTTTTACCAGCTGTCAGGAAATGTAGAATTTAAGATACAGAAATTAAACACATGCGTGAAAATACTTAACAAACGTGGGATACACAATTTAATTAATTCTATACTAATTGCATCGTGGCCACAAGCTTTCGATTTGATAGAATTAATGTGCTGGAGCACAGTCGCATCATCAATCGTGCTGAACGTTAAAACTGAGCGTATAACTAACGCCTCAGCTGTTGGTTAATGAAGTGTCACTCAATACGGTTTTCAACACAAAGAAAGTGAAAGTCGAAACACACTGCGAGCTAAAATTGCGTGGTTCAAATTCCAACAATAGATGGAATCCTATTCAAAAATTACGAGGATCTTTCAACAAAATATACGGTGAACACTAATAATGCTTGCATGTAAAGAAAATAAATCGTTACAAACTTCATTAATGAATCCTCAGGGCCAATTACCGAATCGAGGGAGAATTAAGTTAATCTTTAAATAATCGACTCGTGGACGTCAGGAAGCATCACACTAAATATCATGGTTTTTGATTCCACAGAGATTGGTAAAGAAACTTTGCCTAGAAAGATAACAGCGTTTTTCAAAAAAACAACAAGAATAAGTCAAACGTACAGGTGACCACCTAGAACTGTGGAGCACCTAAACCTAGAAGACTTTTTACCAAAAATGATTAACGAGTAAACAGAAACATCTACTCGAGAATCGAGAATTAGTTTTTTGAACAAGTAGTTTTGTTACGGTCAGATGTGCCACAACCATAACAATGTATAATATCTGTGGAGAGAAAAGTCTGGGTAGGTTGAAAAGGATTGTGTTCAGGATTACTAATTTATTAAGGGTTGAACAATGAAAAAGGAGGGAAGAAAGAGCCAGCGGAGGTCAAAATGGCTAAACTTGGGCGATGGACTTGAATCTATATATTCTTTTGTTCATTTATCTAGAGCAAGAAATTCACTAATTGAATAAGAAAACAAGACTGAGACTCAAAGAATTTTTCAAACAAAATAAATCTATGAGTGTCGGTCTTGTTTTCTCATTATAACACGATAACTTAAAACTGTAGAGCTCCTCATCGACAATCCATTAATAGAGTTTGCTTCGCCTAAATAAAAAGCGCTTTGATAAAATGACGTTAAAATGAGTTGACAAAAATTTTCTTGGTTGCTCGGTCACTAATTCGTTCAAACTTCTTCCTATCTAATTGGGATGCATGTTTTCACTATTGAGTCCCAATGTCTAGTCCAAATTTCTGAGAAGTTGATAGTGGTTACGTGTCTTATGTAACTGAGAATTGGTTTCGCGGCACTTGTTGCCGCTAGCTCAAATTACAACCTTAGTTTTGTTCTATTTTTAAATTTTTCTCAGGGCACGACTGGATTCTGGCACAAACAAAAGATCCTAACATTAACTTATAAATTTGAAAGAGCCGAAGGCCTCAATCAAGTTCCGTAAATTCCAATGAAATCAATACTCAAATTTTAAATTGACCTCGGATTTAAAGAAATTAAAAAAATATAATAATACAATAACAAAACCTGTTAGAAAAATTTTAAGGCTAACCGTGGCTTTTTGAATAGTACAACCCGTTTGCAAAGCGGACAAATGGACAAAACAATTCAACAGATCTTAAAAAAAAATTACTCACAGTTCAGGTAAATAATATCCAACGGCCTTGACAATGGGGATTCGGCAAACGGCGAACCAAGCAGTTTACACAGAACTGACAGCTTATAAAACTCACACCTGTTCTTTATTTGGCGAGACTGTCCGTCAAAATTTACCTAAAAAATTACACGCTTTTACAGTTGAGATGAAAAATGGCCTCATTTATTTCCCATTTTGCATATTTCAAGTAACGACCACTTCCATTCATCAATTGCCCGGCGATACACGAAAGACTGCTTCGTCGCCCGCATTAATGAACACATGTGTTGCTTATCTTGCACATGGTATTGTTATCACACAACTAATTAGCTTTGTGGATAAAAACTTCTTTCTTTAATAAACACCTTACCAGATTAAACTTTCACATTACAATTAAATTTTAATTATATGTTTCCTCATTTGTGCGTTTTAGACAAGACGTATACGAATGCGCAAGCTTAGAATGCAGGGCACTATAAAATACTATATGCAATTTGAAATCAGCACACGCAGCTGATCGGCCAGCTAGCTCCGTTAGCCAAATAGTTAACAGCGTAGAGAGATATGCTCTTACTCAGGGTAGTAGGTAAGTGAATTAAAAACTTTGACAAGAAATTATTATAAAAGGTTCCAAGTAAATCTCCGCCACTAATACTTACTGGTGCTTCGATTCGAGCCTTTCGGGTGCCACCTAATTCCGCTAACAATTTTATCCGCAGCACCCGGAATTAGGAAAGGTAGCTTCAGTATAAAAAGAGTCAACAATTGACCCATAAGGAAAATTATTGTTTATTAACCAAAGAGTATGCAAAATACAAAAAGAATGAAATCTTCCCATGAACTATTAACACAAAAATTAACCCATTAACAACTCCTGAAGTTATGTGACACCTCGTACCGCTAAGCAACGACAAGGGATAGTTAAACAGTCCTAAAGATCAAGCATACTAATTACACGTATAAATTTCCACTTACATATGTGGGTCAAATAAACCGTTCATAGATATTTAGGTCTTAACAAAAGAAAAAAATAGTTGAAGGTACGTCACCGCTAACGATTAATTGTGTCGGCAATTCCACAGGTTCCTAGTGTAACCAAAAATAATTCCTACTGAGGTAACAAAGCTTGTGCTCCAGGTATATTTCTCACGATCTACGTTCGGCTGCCCTTAAGATCTTAATGATTGATTGTACGGGATGTACAATATGAATGAATATTAACCCCCTTGCAAAGACTCTCTTGTCCAGAGAGTTCACAAAAAAAAAGAACTGGATACGTCCCAAATGACTCCAAAATTTACTATATGGTCGGTATTTGCTCTCGATTTGGAATGCTTAAGATTTCCGTATTAAAAGTCCATTTCGGAAAAAATTGTAACCGAACGTCCAAAAACACAACGGGTAGTCGATTGATTAAAGTTATCTCTGACGAATAGTAGAGCAGTATATGATACATGACCATATAAGGTAATTTAATGGTTAACATAAAAAAAGCAAAACAAACTAAATGTCCTCCAACGACAAGAAGACAAGTTAAATCGGAGAGGCAAACACAGAAAAGTAACTAGAAATTGGTCGCATTCAATGACGAGAAAATTTAGAAAATATACAGGTGGAAATTGAAATATGGACAGAAATGTTAATATTTTAAAACTGTTACGAGTATCATTAAATTAATTAAACAAGTACTAACTTTACAATAAATAACTAAAATTAAAATGACATCCATCAACTTTTTCCAGTTCTGTCTTTTTGAAATAAAACTTCCTAGATCATATGAAACAAACTTGAATAATTTTACATACAGGCTGTCCCGACTCCTTTTTCAATACTTCAACCGAAATTAGGTAATTTTTTCACTACAGAGTGGCTGGCGCTCATCTACTATATACTAAATGGAAATAAATTTGATGTATTTAAAAGTATAGTATATTACACCATGGAATAAGTAATATTATAGGAAGAAGTATTATTCTGTAGTAAGAAACGTTGGGGTTATTAGGTATATTATTCGTAATTTAATATTGTTTATTTACTATTAAGCCTTGTTACAAGCTTCATCAGAACTTCCTCTTATTGACCTGTAAAAAATCCTTTTCGGCTACGTAGACTATCGGGTCAAAAAGTTGCAGCCCAAAAACAGATCTCAAGGCTCGTTTGGTATTCAGTATCGGATTTTTTAATCCCAAAAACCTTTATTTATGGGAAATTGACAAGCATTTCAAGAGATATAGTCATTTATTTACTTTTAATTGGTGGAAATGTTTTTTACAAGCGCATATGCACATGTTTAAAGCTACGTTTTACATAATGAACATTAATGAATAAACAAAGCTTTTACTGAATACCTACATGAAAAACTTGTAACTCGCAAGTCGTTATATTACTCAATAATGTACCTAGCACGCAATTGAATGCTATTGCAGCCGAAGCTAAACAAAAAAAAAACGCGACCTGTTGCTTTCCAGCTCTCACAGTTGTATAAATTACAACAATAATGAGTATACCTAGTTTTGTGTATTATAGAATGTCCTTATTACATAGAAGTTCGAAATTATACTAAATTTGTTTCTAAGTGTACTTTATAGCAAAATGCAATGATTTAGTTACAAGTATATTGCTAGTTAGGAAATGTCGAAGTTTTAATCAAACATCACCCATTTGCTTTCTAGTGGAGCTCTGTCACATTAGGGATGGAGCAACTAGGTCTCTGACAGAGTGCTCTCGCAGAGATTTCTGTTATACTCGTAACCTGCGCCATCTTTCATTCTAGAGCCTTTCTAGACCTAAAATCAATAAACACGAACGAAGGAAATCTTTGCGAACGTAGGACTCTGTACTCTGTAGTATAATTTTGAATATGACTTCTAGGTAAGTGTAATCGGAATATTTGTTTGTAGAAAGCTTTTGCGGAAAAGTTGAAAGAGCAAATCTATGAGGACATTCGCGCATCGCAAAAGACGGCAAAGGCGAGGGCTTTTTACACTACCCTACCGAATCATCTGCGCTATACGCCTCCAAAGCAAGGAATCGTCGACAAGTGGTTAACACGAAGGGCGCCAGAAAGAATCGCCAGTATGGCAATTGTTTGGGAGGGAATTACGCACTTGAGGTATACAAATTGCGTACATTCAAAGTGTATCAACTCACACGTTTATAGATCAACTCGGGCCTTCTGCAAGTGGTTAATAGAACACCCCGACGTACCCCGTCCCCAATATTTGATACAACAGGGCATGTTAGAGAGCAGCTACTTTGAGAAACCACATTACTCTATCGACAGTCAACTTTCCACGCAGATGATAGAGCCGGGTTTTGTTAGTAGCATCAATCATATTCACGCAACGCCCCACTAACTTTATAATCTACATAAATTTAATAAAAACGTTCATCGATCGTCGAACTCTTTTGTTTTATTTAAGAAACAAGTTTCATTTTATCTAGTTTGTGTCCCAAAGATATAACAGATCGTGTTAGCAAACAGTATACTTTCAACATTGATATGTGACTCGACTGCAATTTCTGAACGCAACGATCATTAATAACACTGCCCATTTTATGCTTTATTTTGAATTTACCATAATGGTTCGTTTTGATTAATGCATGTAAAACCGAATAGCACATTTTCCAAGCTTTGAGATGCAATATTCTGTAGAACTCTAACAAACCCTACTCGTGGTTTTTTCCTTGACGATACCTACACTTAGTAAACGTTTTGCTTTAGGTACTTATCCTTTTCAGACCTTTTATACCGTTCATTATTTAAACAATTACTTGATTAAAAAGAAATAAATACCAAAATATTGCCCAAATCGAACCAATAAGCTAAAACCGTCTAGTGTTATCCTCAGCTACCCCGATTATGTGGAGATGATATCTCAAGGAGCAGTGTTCAGTGACCAGGCATATGTGCCGACCTTAGCTCTTTTCTGCTGACTGCTACCAATCAGGGGCCTATTTCAGAAAGCAACGCGCATCGAGTAGCCCTATGGCCTCTGGGTACCGGGTTATAGCTATTAACTCGGCTTGAAATACTGTGCAATGGTTCGTAAGGCTATGGAGAGTGTAATTCTGCCCTCTTATGTCTATTCCCATCCCTTTCGTCGACTTGGGGTCGTCCATGTACCAGAACTAGGTTCCTCAAATTCTGGACTGTTCTTACAGACTTCCTTGTCCCGGATTACCACTTTAAAGAGCTTGTCGTAGCGATATTCGGGAGTCCTGTAGTCTGAAATCCAGTATATGTGCTCATGAATGCTTAATTGTTGTAGAACTCACTCCTTCCTTTTTCACGGAGAGTGAGTCCAGTAAGCCTTCCATGGCAACTGTGGGTGCAGTACTCATTGCTCCAGTTATACTCAGACAGGCTATTCGTTTCAGCCTGTTTAGCTGAGTCTGAGTAGCTTTTGGTACTACTTTGGACCACCATACCAATGCAAGGTAGATGAATGCGGAGATTTTTCCATCTCCATTTCCTCCTCATAAGGCTTCAACGTCTCATTAAGACGTTGTTGACCGCCGTGGTGATGTAAGGCTTCCAAGTTAGCCTCTTGTCCAGCATGGCTCATAAGTATTTGCATTCTGGAGTGTATTCCAGCTCCGCATACCCAACCGTAGCTTCCGAAGGCTAAGTATTGTTCTCCTCGTAAAAGTCTCTGTACCTTGTCCGAATGCACCTGTAGCCCCCGAGAGAGGCACCATTCCTGCACTATAGCAACAACATATACTGTATTAAGTCACACAGGGTGGCATCATGTTTGCCCTGCCCCACAATTGTTAGGTCATCTGCATACGCTATGCAGCCAAAGTTTAGACCGGTTAGAAAGTTACTTACTAGTCCGTTCTTGACTAGCGATCAGAGGGACCTTGCGGACAACCTCTGCTCGCGGCCATGAGGACTGTTTCCTATCAGAATCTAGATTTAATTGCTTTCTAACATGGCTTTTATGAAACGCGTTCTCCACATGTCAATATCTCTCCCGTTGCTTCATCAGTGGAGTCATACTAGGAGCAACTGAATGCCCGCTCAATGTCCATGCAGCAGACTAAGGTCGATTCTTTGTCCAGCATCATTTTTTCAATTTTAGAGTTGGAGTTATGAAGGGCGGTCTCCGGATAGCGCCCCTTTTGTTTTGCCTGTTGGTTGGTGTGAAGGGTTTTTTTCTTAAGGAACCTTTCTTTTATGTATTGCCCTACTATTCTCTCCATCGTTTTAAGGACGAATGACGATCGACTTTTAGATCGGTAGCTCTTGGGTTGGTCACTGGGCCTCTTGCCTACAATGAGAATAAAAACCACGTCTACGTTCCTTCAGTCCTTGGGAATATAACTTACGGAGTAACTCCCCCGGAAAAGTTCTATTAGAGTGGGCGTTACTGCCTCAGTCTATTTTATAAGATTCGCATCAAGAGCTACGAAGTCTCTCTAGTTGAGCCGATGCGTTCTCCGTTTGGTCCCACCATCGTTTCTAAGGAGTTGTTCTTTACTTCTGAGAGGATTTTCCGTAGGCGAGAGTTTTGCCTTTCTTATATCGTCTCACAGAATCTTTCCTAAGGCGCTCTTTTTGTCTTCCGTATCACCTTACTATACTTAGTGAGGGCCGCTCTATACTCATCCCAGCACCCAGTGCACCTGGTTTTGGTAAAATCTTTTCTGGTGGCTTTCCAGAGCGTTCCTAGCTCATTGTTGCCACCAAGGAGTGTTTCTATTTATTTTAACCCGCTTCACCGGACAACTCTCCTCAAAGGAGAGAAGGGCATCACTGAATAGTGTGGGAAGTCGTTCTAGGTCACCTTGATCCACCACCCTACTGCAGAATCCTGCGGTACTGCTTTTCATTGACTTCTCGTACAGCATCCAATCTGTTATACGAGGATCTCGACATGAATGTTCGGTTTGTTTCTCTACCTTTATACTAAAACAGGTTTGTCTGTGGTCTGAGAGAGAAGGCTCATCGGAGATCCTCCATCCCACTATTCTACCAGCAGAACGGAAGAGGAAAAGGTAATATCCAGTACTTCCTTCCTGTTGTTGGTCACAAACATTGGCTCATTGCTTTGATTGAGCATCTCTACTTCTTCTGAGAATAGAAAATCTAAAAGGTACTCATCTGTACGGTCTGTGTCAGTATTGCCCCAGTGGAGAAGTTGGCGTCACATAAGAAGATGTAGCCCCTTCACCTTGCAGTATCTGCTCAGTTTCCGGAGGAATTTCTGCCTCTCTCTCCCCCGAAACGTATGCTCTATTTTGGCAACGCCGGTGCTTATTGGGTTCGACCACAACAGGTCTTTTGTTATGCACTCTGAAAGAGGAAAGCCTGTTAGTTACGAGATTACGCTAACCGCTGCTCTGGAGAAATTGGTGCCCCTTACATAAATCAGAGTCCCTGCGGAGTTAAGATAACCCTTGATAGAGAGTTACTTACCCATGATTCCTGTATGAGAGACACTTCTAAATTATCTTTGGTGAACCTTGTAGTGTTGTAGTGCGAAGGTGACCGCTTTCGTCTTGTATTGGTTATGTTTTATCCCCCTTGCGTCTAGCGGGACGGTGGCTTAAGTGAGGAGGGACGGGGCCTGAGCCTACCAATGTCTTTCGCTTGAGCAGGCACATTTCCATTGGCTTTGGTTGAGAAACGATCAGGGCTTGCTTATCTGGTTGGTTCAGTTGAGCTTTCCCCGACTTCCATTGAAATCACTTTGCTGGTTTCGCCCTGAGTGTTCCACAAGGGGCTTCTTTGGGCTTTGAGGGCCCAGCTCGATCTGTTTACCGAGTGAAATACATTTTTTGGTAATCTTAATATATAAACAAACACATTGGAAATGGGTTGGCTAAAAAAGTTAAGTTAAGGCTACCCTTAATTCAAATTAATGTGAGTCATATTTCTGTCTGCTTCTATTATATGGAAAGAGCGCATGCTCACTCTCTTACATCGATACGTGCACCACGGTCAATTGTTACGCTGCGTCCTTTTCTTTCACGCAGAACAGTACGGTTGTTGCAATTCTAAGGAGAGCGCAAGAGAGAAACATGTGTATTGCCCCGTGTAAAAGAGAAGGATGCAGCGTAACAGCTGATCGTGGGGTAGGTATATTGATGTAATAGAACGCGCACGCGCTTTCTCCTTGAAGTAAGGGTAGTCTTGACTTAATTAAGGAGGAGTTCGTTATTCTGCAACCCTTTTCCAAAGTGTTTGTTTACATATTAAGATTGCCAAAAAATGTATTTCACTCGGTAAATAGATGAACGAAAATTGACCGAATGTGGAATCTTGTACCAGTAGTGGAACTTACCAAGCTGGAAGCCACTCGCGGATTCTCGTCTAAATATCTGGGCGACGTATTGTAGGCGGTGAAGACTACTGTTGCGGTGGTGTTGTCGATCACATTGCGGTGGATTTTTTGCTGTCTTCGCGTTAAGGTTGCGTAACCATCTTAAAACTCTTCCACCTCTCTCTGAAAGTGAGGCATGAAGACGTAATTGTTTTGTCCATCTGTTCCTCATCTAACTCGAGAACGAAAAGAGACAGTGATGTCAAACCGTCGCCAATCGATTTATACGCTTGCAAGCGACTCCACAAAGCTCTATTTTTGTGGTCGCTTCCACAGGCTTGTTTAATTCGCGTCCCCCATGAGGCTATTAAGGCTTTGTTACTCAAAGCTTTGGAGTCCTCAAGTGTCCCTTAAGAGGGAGGGATGCTAACACTGTCTAGACTGGTGTCTTCGTCAGAGGCCAATAGAGTCCTCTCGATGTCGGACAAACCTTGATCGGTGGTGGTTAGAGGTAGCGACTCCCCCGTTACAGCTGGAATGGTTTTTATATTTAAGTCGGACCCACAACTAATGGGCTTTTAAACGGTCACTAGTGCTCTTACTGCCAGCAGGCTAATTGAAACTTGGTACCTAGAATTCGCTGACTAACGACCAAGCTCTCCATTAGCCATATGCAGTCCTCTGTTGACAGACGGCTAGCCAGGTATCGCTAAGCGCTGAAGAGTTTTTATTTGGGCACGTGGTGGACAAGATATATATCACGCCAATAACGATCAATAAAAACAAAATGAAATTTTTTTTATATTTAATGCAAACAAAGTATCAAGTACCCTTTACAAATTAGGTTTTTTTTTCTTAATGAAAGGAACACAACAATTAAAAAATTAAACGGCGAATAAAAAATTAAATAAAGAAGGGATAGCGCTATCGGAACAAAATATGAATGCCGTCGTTGAAATAATTATAAGTATTTTACACTATTGACAAAAAAACAGGTAGGTACTTCTCAACTAAAGTATGTATCAATATGAACAATATGTATGGAAGATTTTAAATGAAATAAATGATGAATGAATGGTGAAATT